ACCTCAGATTAAGGGATTTGTTTTATGAATTTTAAGATTAGAAATGCATGGCTTGTTTAGCCTAGCTGACTGAAGGCTGGCAAAGAGAAAGAGCCAGGATGATAAATTTCAGAGAAGTGCTATTCAGTTTTATAACACAGGCAACAAAGACAAATGGATTACATATCCTTAACTACTGGAAATTAGTTTTCTGTTCATCAGAGACACAAGTTTCTAGTACTGCAAGGGTGGAAAGAGAGCGAAAATCCTTATGTTTAGGTTGGATCATGTTGAGTTCTGAGGTGAATTGCACAGCATGGAAAAGAGGTGGATTGGACAAGTCAGGATGGGATTCTCCTAGTAGCCTGGTTCTATGACCCTGTTAAAGATGTGTGGTTAACTTCTGCCCATGTTGGAGCAGGTTGTGCACTCAAAAGGCTCCCCTAGTTTTATATAGATGAAAATCTCAAGAGCAATGACATGTAGAAAAACCTACAGTGTTTTGTGTGTAAGTCAGGAACAAGGAAGGCCCATATTATTCTCTGTTACTTGTTCCAATTTAAATAATAAAGCCATAAAAGGTGCATGTGAAAACAAGCAATAAAATGATTAAGTAAATATTTCACAGCAGTCATTGAAAAGTTCTAGTTATTTGTAAAGAGTTTGGATCAGATCAGAGAATTCTGTTTCCCCAATAATTAAAGAAGAAAGGAAACAGTGAGGTAAATAACCAGGTAGAAATAATGATGCACTTTAAATCTTCCACATGAATGAGTTGATCTGTTAATAGCTAATGCACTGTGCTGTGCTGCTCCCCCTCCCTTCCCCCCACTGTAATCAGACTTTTGTCACATACCAGTGAAATCCATTAGCTACAACTTCCTTATCAACATCCAAGGCTCTCCAGCTACTAAGATATTTGCATATTTAACGATTCATTTGACTGGTATCAACTCTCATTTACCAAGTGCTTGAGAAAAAAAACAAGGCATAGTGTGTAGAAGTCCTGTTTAAAAACAAAAGAGTACTAGCAGCTCTTCTCAATAAACAGATTTATCTGAATTAATGGGATTAGAGTAGACTTTGTAAAAATCTGAGAAGTATCAGCAACTTTTTGACCCATAGTTTAATTTAAAGATTGTGAATACAAGTGAAAGCTCTTCAGCATTTAAATCAGCTTTGAATTTCACTCTATTTATTTATTTCACTTTTCTCTGTGCTACTTGCACCAAATTTCCTTCACTTGTCTACTCCTGAATTATTTCAGTAGTGTAACTTTCTAGTACTTATGATGTCACCACTGTAACACGAACGTAAAAATAAAAATTCAGAAATCAAGAACAGGAGCAAGCTGATAAAGCCTTGGAAAGATTCTGTTTTGACACAAATGTTCTGGTAGGTTTATTGGCAAAGGAGCTAATGGGCGAGTAATGTCTGACAGTCACACAGAGGGTTTGCCAAGTGTATCTTTAAAATACACGTGAATTTTGTATTGGGTCTTTAACTGCTCTGCAGGCATGCTTCTAAAGAATGTGAAGTATATAAAAATGTAAAATACTGACTTCTCTCTAATATTTTTTCATGGCTTTCAATAGAAGTACATAGATTCACACACTTAAGACTTCTGCTACTTTGATAACTAACCTTGGAGAAAACAAAACTTGTTTTCCTGCTTTAAAAACTTTCATGATCCATCAGTTACTCTCTAAGTGCAAAGTGACAAGAGGGAGAGAGACAGCCTCACTCTCTGAATGCTTTGGTACACAGCCTCCTAATCATTGCTAATGAAGCACTGCAGAATGCTGCAAAGAAATATCACACAGCACAACCTCATGCTAACTTGAAACTGATTTAACTTGCTTTGTCTCTGCTCACCACATACATGAGCTCCAGGTATATACAGTTTATGGGACATTGGCCGTTTGTAACATCTTCACTGGGAATATGGCATATTAACTGTTAATAACATGAGGATGATGATATTTCTGATTAAGATATCTGGGAAGAAAGATTCAACAGCTTATTAAGCAAAATGTTAATCAGAGGTATCTGTGACTAAGTTAGATATTCTTTATGAAGTTTAGCTAAGCATCCTCATACAGTCCAGTAATTACAGGCACAGTATTTAAGGCTCCATTAAATTAATCTGAACCTCTTAGAATGTTAATTTTGAGTAAGCTTTACACCAGAAGTTTCACAGCAGAAATATACCTTTCAGAAATGTAACTGACTTCCTCTTCAACACTATTCACTTAAGACAATAAATTATTTGCATTAAATGCATTATTTATTATAGCTTCAACATGCCTTTATCAATGTTGTTTAGACAATTTATATTTACATTACTGGGCAATTATGAACAAGAAGACAGCTCAGAACATTATATTCTCTGGTGCACACAGGGCAAAATATAAACAATAACTGCTACCTCAGGTTAAGCTATATAACAAAAACAAGCTAATAGACAACAATGTATTTTATTTCTGGCAGCACTAAAGATATTTTATGCACTGTACACAGGGAGAATAACAAATATGAACACTAATGCCACAGAGCATTCAGACTATCATAGCACAACTCAATGGAAGAGTTAATGCTCATAAGTACCAGATTCAGGAACTAAAATTCATTGATGTTTACTTGAAAGGCCCATGAACAGCATTCAGCAGCTCAGCTCAGTTATTGTAGATGTAAATGGAAGTTTTATTTTGAAAGCTGAAAAATCCACGCTGTATTAATTAAGCATTAAGGCTAAGTTGCATGACTAAACTGCTGAATGGCTCAGAGAAGAAAACCAGGATTTTCTAGTCTGTGTTTCTCATTCCACAGTTACTCCACAGTACCACATGAAATGATGGAGCTGCAGGTTGAAAGCAAGCACAGAGAAACATGTGAACTGTGTGCTTGATTCCACCACTATGTGTTCACCAGGCCAGATGCATCAAGGAAACTCAGAAGAAAACTAGAGAGGTTCATATGAAAACAGGGCTTCAGCAGTCTAAACCACATGTCACAGGACATGGGAATTTGGCTTATGCATGTTCAGCTCTCCTAAATACTCTAAACTGAACCTTCAGAGAAGGCAGACCTCATTTAGCAGGACTGACCAGAATACAGCTCTTCATCTGTGAAACCCTCAACAAAAACATCATGAAGTTTTAAATATTTACATAGCACAAGAGAAGTCCTCAAGTTTTGGGCTCTGTGACAAAACCCCACAGTTCTTGTAACTCCCCTCATCCCCAGAGTAGTTTGTTTATCACTCTTTTGACAAAGCAATTCATGTGTGTATCTTCCTCAAGAATAACAAGTCCAAGTGATGTTACAAACCACCCAATAATTAATGGGAATTTTACACACTTCTCATACAAATGTTATCAGGGCTGGTAGGAAGAACAGAGACATAATTTGCCTTCCTATTCTTGTACACATGAAGTTTTACCACCTCCTCTGAGAAGTAATAATGAAAAATGCAATTTATGGGGCAGAATATTTTGTTATCTGCCTATAAAGACACCAAAGAAAAGAACTTTATCTTGCCTGAAAATATATACAGATCTTTCCTTAACATCTCAGTTCCTGCAGAAAATACCCATTTTGACTATTCAGTGAATCAAACTCAGTGAGGTAAAACACAGGGAAAGCTAAAAGCTGAAGTTTCACTTAGAAACAAGGGTACAGGTGTCTGTATGAATGCCTGTGGAAGAAACACTTTCTATATACAAGAGAGAAGAGGATTGGAAAACAGTGAGGCAGATCATCAACATATGAATCAACATATTCAGTGCAAGAATAATAAAACACCTGTGTTTTTTTAAAGGAAAGTCATCTTTTTCAACCCTCAGTAAGTCTATGGTCCCAGGTGTACTGAGAAAGCTTTGCTGGTGTTTATCAATATATACAACATGGTCAAAGCAGTTTGTGTGTAAACACAGCTACATCAGTGAATTACAATTTGTTCTAGTAAAATAAACTCTTCCCACACAGTTATTCTGAGGCAGTAGTTGATGTTACAGCCACTCTCACAGTACTGTTTATCCCAGTTTATACAGCTATATTTGTATATAGCCCATATGTTGCTTAAGCATCCCTGCCATAAACAGTGCACCCCTTGCATGCCACTTACAAATTGTTTCAGACCAACTTTGCACTTCCCCTCCTTTCCAGTGTGCTAACAAACAAAGCCATCAGTAAGACAAACATAAAAGAAAATGTATGTCTTCCTTGAAATTCTTCAAGAAAGAATTCAGCCTATACTCCCTGCTCTTCACAAAGCCACAGCCCCCAGCAGCTTGCATCACACCACACCAGCTATGCCAGCAAATCCTCGAGCACCAAGACTTCTGTCTGACCAGGGATTTACTAAACACCACCACACACCTGCAAAAGCTTCTCCATTGCATGCTAATACCCATGCCTTTAGAAAACATGAAGATAAAGCTTGGTGTCCTCCCTTGCTCTCCACCATGAGCTGCCAGGATCCAAGGGTACTGAAGGGTAACAACTGAACTCACAGGAAGGAAGCAGCATTACATTTAGTGATGCACAGGGGCTCCAGTAATCTCCCTTGTCTCTACCACAAAAATACCCATGGGCTTAGTTGCCCAAAAGCAAGGCTCTGTTTATCTGAGTAGTGCTTTTCCAGTTGTTCTCACCCACTTCAGATCAGTGCAATCCTGTCCAGCTCCTGCAAGTGAAAGCTCTCCAAGAGCTCTCCTAACCAAGTTACCTCCTTACCTGGCAAGTGTTTGTATTTTACCCAGCCTGACTAACAGCATATGATTTTACACTTCTGTAAGAGCAACGGCTTTTGGTCATAGAATGAAGTGTAGGTGGTGTTTGCATACACTATGATACATTCTGATGGCCTTCCTGGGAGGCAGCTAATTTCAAATATTCACCAGAAAAATCTTCTTCATTATTTATGCATTATGAAAACCATCCAAACTTGCATCTTAAACATAATGTCTACTAGGTGTAAGATTACCCAGTAAAAGATATATTAATATCATGATACTTACAAAAAGCAAAAGCAGAAGTGGAGTTATAACAATGCCCTGTAAGAAACAAACAAAAACAGTCTGTTAGTCAGGGAGGCAGAAATATCTTTACTTTCTTAGCTTAGTACATGGAAATACACAAGCATCATTTAACATCACAGAAATGAAGTAACAAGCTCAACTTTGCTCTTCACTGAGGATTTTCTTTAACATTTATGCAGCAATCATTTTATAAACTATACTCAGTACCAAGTAGCTTTTTTACCTTTTTGCATCTAAGTCCCTCTGTTCTAAAATATACAGATATATATTCTGATATACAGAAATATGGATCATTTATTAAAAAAAAAAACATATTAAAGCTCTCCCCTCAGTGTGCTGTATCTTAACTTCACTAAGCAGCTCCTCCTTAGGGAAAGACTTGATCAAGTCCCATGGCACCCAGTCCCAGGTCCTCTTCTGAACAGAAGCTGCATCAAGTGTGATGAATTAGGTGTCGTGACTGTGTAATGTAAGCAGATATTCCCCAAGGAAATGAGCTGAGATCTCAAAACTCATTTCACTTGATTAGACTTCATGTCTCACTGGTAGAAGGCAAGTCTTTCATCTAATTTAATCACACAGGACCACCTCAGCTTTCCACATCCCCCAGGCAGATGCAAGCAAAAAGATTTGTTGTCTTCACTGACAAGGAACAGGTTTAAAGCTGATGATTGGACAAAATAGAGGATTTTAAGTTTCATGAAAGCAAATCTTAGAATGAGTTGTTTGGGTTGGGAGTTAACATGACATGCATCACTTTCATAGCTGCAAACAGCAATTCCCCATCATCCTTCCATCTGACTTCAATATTTTATTATTGCTCAATAAAATGATTCCATCATTTAATGTATGCTAATTCATAGAGCTGGCCCAGAACTTCTCTAGGCCAGGACTATTCTTCATCCACATAGGTCATAAGAATAGTTAGCTTTTCAGCTATTCACAAATTTTATTTTTTAAAAATTTTTGGACAAAGGTCCAAAACACACTCACATTTATCTGAAAGGGTGCTTACTTTACATTTTATTTAGCTAGAAGTGAAAAACAACTGAACAAAACACCCCAGTTGTCCCCTAGTTTTCGCTTAACCTTGAGTAACATGTCTTTACTCCAATCTCTTGGAAGAAAATATAAAGAAATACCAGAAACAACTAGTTTTATATTTGCTTTCTGAGTCCACAAAAAATCACAGATTCAGACAGACTATCAGCCACAGAGAGTTCCTATTATGTTCCTAAAACAAAATGCAACAAATAAATGCCACAAATTATAACAGACAGGAAGGATCAAGGAGGCAACAGTTAAGCTGTGCAACTTGAAGCCTCTGCAGAATTTAAAAACATATTTCAAAATAAATAATATATGCCATATCTGACTGCCCCACAGCCCAGATATCCATAATAATTTATCTTTTTGCAAATGTCACAATTGAGATAGATCATAAAAGACTGAAAAGAGAAGTAGAAGCAGTAAGAATTGCTTCAGGGAGTCACTCACTATTTACAGGAGGTCTAGACCAAAATGCAGACAACAGATATGAAGAAATATAGGTGTTCAAGTACAGCAGCTGGAGAGGAAGAAACAAAAGTTGGGGAAGGTAGGAGGCATCAAGGGCTGAACTGACATTGCATACAGCAGAATCTGTGAGGAAGAAGTGACTGCAAGATCTGTGTAAAGCAGGGACAACACAGTCACTGCATCAGAGTGACCAAACTCCAGCTTTTAGGGATGGCTGCTACGAGTGCCTGAGCCAGGCCTTGCCCTTCCTCCCCTTTCCCCACTGACAGCTACACTGCACACCTCAAATGCTACCAGACATTACCAAGTGCCTGAGTGTTCCCTTAGCCTCCTCTAATTTTGGAATGGCAGAACACCACTGCAGCAGGGTTCCGCCTTCAAGCTTTTGCACAAGTGAGGAGGAGCATGGATGGAGCAGGAGGTGATCTGAAAGCATCCCATACTCCTACTGATCCCTGAGTGTTGGGAGAAGAGAGCACAGTGCCAGCCTGAGAGCACAGCCAGCTCTCCTGTGAACCTGAACAAACTCATTGATTCAGCACCATCAGATATTTCTTACGTGCTTCATGCCTCAGGTTGCTTTTATATGTTACCAAAAAAAAAAAAAAGAAGAAAAAAAAAACAAGCAAAGGTAAAAAAACACATCAAACCAAATCAACCTTTCTCTCTATCTTGTTGTTAAGTCAAGATTGTGCCCTTCCTCCTTGGGATGGGAGCTCTGACTTGCTATTTAATTACTTCAGAAGCTTGCTGATATTAACACGGCGGGCAACAGCCACTGCTAATTCAAAGCATGTGCCACAAAAGGAAACTGCACTTCTGTGGCAGTAACACTTCTTGTAATTCTGTAAGTGGGGAGCAAGAGAATCCTTCTCTACATCGTAAAGAGATTCCTGAATGAGCATGCTGCAAATCTAGCATTCAAAAGGTCAATTTTAGCAATTTGTTATTAAATTTTGCTATTAAACCTGGTGATCTTAATAATCAGAAGTGGGTTTCCTGTTGCCTCACCACAGAAAGGATTTACAAGGTTGAACTTTTCCATTTGCAACACACATACGATTGATTCCCTGGGAAGCTAAACAATTACCTGACAGAAGAGACAAGTTCATATTAAAAAATAGATGCTGTTGCTGAATCAAAGTAATTTGATGTTAATGTTTTATTTTGATAAGGAGTGCCAGTTTGAAAAACCACAGGGTTTACATTAAAACCAAAGGGGTTTTTTTCTTCAGTCAATAGTGCAGTGGTGGCTGATGGTTTACAGGGGCAAGCAAAGCACGATTTATTCAGGGAGGGAACCTCTATCACCCAACCAACTGGTGGAACTGCTAAAGAACAGACTTTGGGGATGTAAAGCCTATCTATAGGTTAACCTGAAAACACTGATGTGCTTTTATGAGCTGAAGCCCTTCTCTGCAGGTTCCTGCCCCAGATATGAAGAAAGGCTTACCTGACCATGGTGTATGTGTCTAACAAAAGGCATCACCCTTCCCTGCACACAGCACCTTGCTTGGACACGTTACCTCTTCATTAGGAACATGCTCCTCAATGTGCTCCTGAGCATTATGGGATGCATCTCAATTCATATCCACTAAAGAATAATAAATAGAGCACTTTGAGTCTAAAGCCTACCGACAAAAAATACAGGAGACAATTTACATTTTGAATGTAAAGCCCAAAGTCTGATTCACTAAGAATAAAGAAAATGTGGAAGAAAAAAGTTATTCCAGAGCCCACTCACTCAACAGCAGAGGCTTCACAAAGATGAGAATATTCTGACACTGGCACTGTAGCTGCTTTCTAAGATTGCCACTGGCTGAGAAGCACAAAGGAAGCTAAAAATTAAAATAAGTATGACCATTTCTAAGTCCATCAGACACCGAGACCATCAGAGAGGAAAATGGAACTAAATTTGACAATGCTTTTCCCTGCCTTGCTTTCCAGGCAAGTGCTGTCAAGTACATAGTGTATGAAGATAAACAGATTGTAGATTAGCACTTCCAGCAAAAGCTGAGCATCTGCCCTTGAGAATGCAAGGTCATTACACAGTTTTAGCATCTTCAAAGTTCGGGTGGAGTGTTAGGCTTCCCAACTGCTGCCCACAATGGAGTCAAAGTTGTAAAGTGACTGCCGTTTGCTATCTGCAGAAAAACTTTCAAGAAATCCATTTACACCTCTGATGTGAAAGACTGACTGAATATATTTCAATGATTTTAGTGGAAAGGGCAGGAAAAAAATCTCAGCCTGACATGAGACACTGATACAACACAGGAGTCTGCAGTCAGATACTTTGAAACATCTCCCCACAGTAAAGATCATGAAACGGATTTTATTTAAGAGAGTTTAAATACAGGTTTGTGTGTGCAAGCATGTGCATAAACATACATATAAACAGCAAGGATGTACTTGGAGATCCATTTAATTGTTATTTGCTTTCATTAGATAAAGTTTCTAAGGGGTTTTCCATAGGTTTCATCCAGTAGACCATTGCTGTAGAGCAGGTATTAAGAGGTGTTTATCCTCCAAAAGAATATATAAAATCAATACATGGAATTGGCTGCCAAATCAGATAGGGGAGGGAAGTCACCTAATGAATTTGAAACTATGGTGGCAAATCATTAAGAATGAAATTATGCAAATGGGAAGAGGGAGATGGGCACAGATCCAGAGGGACACATGGTAGAAGACAAGTAGGGATTATTGTAATGAGGCATGAAATACATGTGAACTTTCCTTAGTTTCCTTTACCCACAAATTTCCCATGCAATTTTTCATCATTCTTACAGGTCATCAGTACGACACGCATGTGGCAACTGCTAGTGAGAAAAACCTCAACCAAAGTCACATCTGATTTGCCTAAAGAACCAGGGCTAGAAAGGAAAAAAAGGGGTTTGTAATCAAGGCTCTGAACAAATATGTATTTTCTGAAACTTATTACCTGCTCATGCTTAATGCTACAGAGGTTCCTGAATGCTCCATCAGAGCAGGACACAAAACAAGCAGAAGGGTAAGCAGTGTCACATAAAAACTACAGGGCGGCATTTCCATGCTACTGATAGGGTAAGGTGTGAGAGAAAAGCTTATCAACACTGGATAATTTCATCAGAGACAAGCATAAATGAGAAATTAAATTCAGTCTTCTTCTGTGTACCGCAGTATTCCTCAAATTTAAGTATTTATTTCAAGAGTTGCTGACACTTTCAGAAAAAAAAAGATCAATCAAAATAAAGTGAGCTCAGTTGGTTAGAATATGGAGTTAATAACATCAAAAAATCCCAGCCTGCACATGCCACCTCACCACCCAACAAACAAATACAAAAATACAAAATACAAAAATTTTCCAAACACATGATTACAATGAGAGTGAAACTTTATGTCAAAATATGTGTTATTTCTATTTCTTACGTCTTTTTTTTCCCTTGATTTTGTGTATGGAAGTGTGCTTTCAAATTTTTTTCCTTTGTTTTTAATAAGTTTGCAGACAATTTATAAGG